GAGGAGCAAAAACTCAAGAGACAAAGGCATTCCTCCAGAGCCTGCACCCAGATTTCACACTTCTAGCCTCCTAAACTATGAATGTAGATATAGAGCTGCTGAATAGCTAGGTTACTAGAGATGAGTGGAGCAAAGAACAAGGGGCTTCTGCCTTATTCTTTGCTCCACTGAGGGCATTGGTAAGAGTGACTGAAATGATGTCACAGAGTTTTAAAGGGAGGACATGGGCTGAAAGAAAAGGGTTGGGTGGCAGTAAGGGATTTAAGACTTTTAGGTCAAAAGCAGTTGTATTGAGAATAAGTTAAGGTAGCAGAAAATTGAGAGAATGGTCAGAATGGCAGATTTTAAGATTTCAGAGACAGAGCCATGCATGGAAACAGAGACCATGGTGCTGAGTTGGGATAATGAAGTGGAGTATGTAAAGATTTCTGGAGGGGAGGAGGTTGGTGCACCTTGAAGCACCTACCAGAATCAAAGTTCCTGGGGGTAGGGTGAGACGCCCGCCATCACAAACTGCACCATCCCCTTTTCTTGTCCACTCACAGTAGTGTCAGAGGGCCTTCCTGTCATGTCTCACTCACCGTAAGACCTTACATGTCATTTGAATGCTCAGATACAATATCCTTTTTTTTTTCCCTCACAGAAAAATGTTCCCTTAATTTTTATCCTTGTCATTTAGCCACTTCTGAAAATGAAACTGTGACAAAAATCACCCTTCATTCTTCAGCAATTCAATGTTTTAATTAGTGCTAATAGAGAACCTTGTCAGTGGGAGTTTTAAAAGTGAAATTGGTTTACATTTAGAGATGCTTCTATATGTAATTTCTCTTTCAAACTAGAGCTGACATTTATTGAATATTTTCACCTTGCACTGAGCACTGTGTTAAATGCATTAGATTCAATAAATAATTGCAACCTCCCACTAAACCTAATATTATACTAATGTGATACTAATGTTATACACATTTTATAGATGATGAAACTCAGAAAATTATATAACTGGTTTAAGGTGGCACAATTAACGAAGAGTGAAACCAAGATTTGAATTCAAGTCGGCTTGGTTCTTTGTTGTTAAATCAGTACAATGTTGTTGTTAGGTGCTGTCCAGCTACTTCCAACTCATAGCAACTTTGTATAAAGCAGAAGGAAACTATGCTTGGTCCATCACCATTCTCACAATTGTGATGTGTCAGCCCATTGCTGTTGCCACTGTGTCAATATATCTTTTTGGAGGTCTTCCTCTTTTTCACTGACACTCCCATTTCCCAAGAATGATGTTCTTCTCCAAAGACTGGCCCCTCCTGATAACATGACAGAGGTATGAGAGATGAAGTCTCACCATCTTCGCTTCTTAGGATCATCTGGCTTTACTTCTTCCAATGCAGATTTGCCATTGCTTCTGGCAGTCAGTGGCATTTCTAATATCCTTCTCCAACACCTTAATTCAAACACATCAATTCTTCTACAGTCTTCCTTATTCATTGTTCAACTTTCACATGCATATGAGGTGATTAAAAATAATATGGCTTGGGTCAGGCGAACCTAAGTCCACAAACTGAATTCTTTGCTTTTTGTCACTTTAAAGAGGTCCTATGAAGCAGATTTGCCTAATGTAATATGTTGTTTGATTTCTTGACTGCTGCGTCCATAAGTGTTGATTGTATATCCAAGCAAAATGAAGTCTTTGATGACTTCAGCCTCTTCTCCATTTGTCATGATGTTATTTATTGATCAGTTGTGAGAATTTTTGTTTTCTTTACATTGAGATGCAATCCATACTGATTGCTGTAGTCTTTGATTTTCATCACTACTTTAAGTCACCTTCATTTACATCCAGCAAGATCGTATCATCTGCATATCACATGTTGTTAATGAGTCTTCCTCCAATCCTAATGACACACTTGTCTTCACATAATCCTGCTTCTCTGATTATTTGCTATGTATGCCCAGGGAATCCTTCAATAATGAAAGTCGAGGCTTGAATTTTTTTCTTCAGCTCCCGCAGCTTGAGAAATGCTGAGCATTCCTTTTTGGTTTTCTGACTCCAGATCTTTGCACATTTTGTTGTAATATTTGGTTTTATCTTCTTGAGCTGACCTTTGAAATTTTCTGTTCAGCTCTTGGACCTCCTCATTTCTTCCATTTGCTTTAGCATCTCTACACTGGAGAGCAAGTTTCAGTGTCTCTTCTGACATCCATTTTTACCTTTTCCTTCTCTCTTGTATTCTCAATGACTTTCTGTTTTTTACCTGTATGATGTTCTTTTTTTTTTAGAGTTGTTTTTACCACAACTCTTCTGGTCTTCAATCTTTAGTGTTTAATGTATCAAATCTGCTCTTCAGATGATGTCTAAATTCAGGTGGGATATATTCAAGGTCATACTTTGGCTCTCATGGACTTGTTTTCATTTTCTTCAGCTTCAGTTTGAATTTGCATAAGAGCAATTGATGGTCTGTCCCACAATCTGCCCCTAGCCTTGTTTTGACTGATGATAAGGAACTTTTCCATCGTCTCTTTCTGCAAATGTAGTCAATTTGATTTCTATGTATTCCATCTGGTGAGGTCCATATATGGTCATCTCTTATGCTGTCTAAAAAGAAGGTATTTGCAATGAACAAATCATTGATTTTGCAGAATTCTATCATGCGATCTTCAGCATCATTTCTATCACTAAGACCATATTTTCCAACTACTGATCCTTCCTCTTTGCTCCCAACCTTTGTATTCCAATCACCAGTAATGATCAATACATCTTGATTGCATGTTTGATCGATTTCAGATTGAAGAAGTTGGTAAAATTCTTCTATTTCATCCTCACTGGCTTTAGTGGTTGGTGTGTAAATTTGAATAATAGTGGTATTAACTGGACTTCCCTGTAGGCACATGGATATTAACCTATCACAGACCGTGACTGATCTGGATATGTTCTTTTTGACAATGAATACAACGGCATTCCTCTTCATCATTCACTTACATATAAGCAACTGATGGTCTGTTTCATAGTCTGCCCTTGGCCTTGTTTTGGCTGATGATATGGAACATTGCCATCATCTCTTCCCACAAATGTGATCAGTTTGATTCCTGTGTATACCGTCTGGTGAGGTCCATGAGTATAGTCATCTTTTATGCTGTTTAAAAAAGATATTTACAATGAAGAAGTCATTGGTCTTTGCAAAATTCTATCATGTGATCTTCAGGATATTGCTATCACCAAGGCCATGTTTTCCAACTACTGATCCTTCCCCTTTGTTTTTAATTTTCTTATTCTAATTTCCAGTAATTATCAATATATCTTGATTGCATGTTTGATCAATATCAGGCTGAAAAAGTTGGTAAAATTCTTTACTTTCATTATCGCTTGCTTTAGTGGTTATGTGTTAATTTGATTAATCGTAATATTAACAGGTCTTCCTTTTAAATGTATGAATATCATAGTATCACAGACAGCATTGTACTTCAAGATAGATCTTTAAATGTTCTTTTTATCAACGAATACAATGCCATTCCTCTTCAATTTGTTTTTCTCACCTTTGTAAGCCATGATTATCTGATTCAAATTGGTCAATATCAATCCATATTAGCTCACTAATGCCTAGGATATTGATCTTTATGCATTCCATTTCATTTTTGACAACTTCCAATTTTCCTAGATTCATATTTTATACTTTCCATGTTCCAGTTATTAATGGATATTTCTAGCACAAATGAAGATCTCAAAAGCTTACTCTATTCACGTCATTACGGCTAACTCAACTTTGAGAAGGCAACACTTTCCCAGTCATAATTTGAGCTACTTCCAACCTGAGGGTCTCTTCTTCCAGCACTATATCTGACAATATTCTTTTGCTATTTATAATGTTTTCCTCTTCTGGTACTATATTTGACAACGTCCTGCTGCTATTCGTAAGGTTTACAGTGGCTAAACATTCAGAAGTACTTTGCCTCTCCTTCTTCCATAGTCTGTTGTAGTTGGGAAGCGCACCTGAAACCTGTCCACCACAGGTGACCCTGCTGGTATTTAAAATACTGGTAGCATAGCTTCCAGTATCATAGCAACAGGTAAACCACCACAGTAAGACAACGAATAGGTGAGCGGTGACTTGTGTGGTAACTTCAGGTAGTAAAACATTGTCAGGGTAGGCATGATGTGCTACCCAACCCTACTGGATGAAGAACTCATTGCCTCAATTGCTCAGAGTACTGTGAGATGACAGCCCTCAGCTCTGTCTTTCAGGGATTGCCTGAGCTGCATAGAACCTCCTCGCCCACTTCCACACCCTTTCCAGGCAGCCACCTCCAAAGCTACTCAAATGCTGGGGTGTAAGGCCTGGTGCTGTCCAAGTTGGGACAACTCTGAAGGTACATTCTAGCTCCAAAACTCGCTAGGGGGGAGCAGGGGTTTACTGAGGTAGCCATTGGACCTGCATCACAACTCAACGTCTCCCTCTGCTCCACCTTCCCCTCTCTTCCACAGGTGTTGATCTCAAGGGCACTCATTAATAAACACGTTACGTGTTAAATCTCTACCTGGGAATCTGTTTCCTGGGTCCTCAAAGAAACAGCCAGAATTTCCAGTTACAGGAATTGTATTATTTCCCACCTTTCCCAGAGATCCTTTCAAGTGTTTCAGAAAAGTATGTGGACCGGATGAAGCTGGTTCTTCCTCACCGTAGCTTCTAGAACTATGTCCAGCTATTTGGATTTCAACTACATAACATTCAAGAGAGAGAGGGTTTAATCAAAAGATTAGTTGCATAAAATGATCCCAGCTTTGACGTAGGGATGGCCTGCTACTTCTGCTTTGCTGATTATTTCTCCTTAAATCCCAAGCATCTTTCTGAGCTGAGAGACTGGGACTTGAAAGCCCTAATTTTGAATATCAGCTTTAAACAACTTATAGACAAAGCAGCGGATTGAAAACTTCAAGCTCATATCTGATGCACCATTGCCCCATGATTTTGTGGATGAAGACTGAAAATATGACCACACCAAAACAAACAAATTTGAATGCTTTTATTTCAGGTTCATTTTTTTCCATATTCTTCATCAGTTATAATAATCAGTCAAAATGTATCAGGAAAAAAAAAAAATCAAGCCACTCATCAAAATGATTTTTGGTGCTTTCTCAATGTGATTAAATATTTTAAGTATACTAACAAAAACAAGAAAAATCAATACCTGTGTATTCCAATTTCTACAAGTTTTTCATTTTTATTCTTTTAGACTCATATAATCATGCTCTAAAGTAACTAAGTGTATGGTTCAGGATATATTTCTTTATAATCATTCAAACATTTGTGGTACTTGAATTTCAATTAGATGTCTATAAAGATTTCAATTATGCTAAACACTCAATTAGGGAAGATATGTAAAGTTAGTACTATGATGGAAATCTCAAAATATTTAGTAAGGAAGACAATTAAAGTTTATCTATCAAGAAGAGAATGTATTCCATTTAATCGCAATGTATGTTTTCTTCTAATGCAGCTGATATGTTTTTTAGCCAGCAGCCAATTCAAGCCATATGTTATTAATGATCACTCAGATCACTCTAAGTATATAATCTGTATTACATTAAAAAATCTTATTTAGGTAACTTCTTTAAACATTTTGTAGACTCAAGTACTGCTTAAAGTTTTCAGTTATTGATTTCCAAATCTTCTGTGTAAGTATAAGCCTCTCAGGGCCAAGAATAATCACGTTTCCTCCCAAGTTGGTCTTTGCCTTTGATAGCCCCCCATGGTTACTAGACCAGGCTGTCAATAAGCATTTATTGAGAATCTGCCGTGGGCTGGGGCCTATTCAGGCTACAGAGGCAAACACTGTGCAAACAAAAGATTACGTTTGTCTGGAGATGCTTACAATCAAGTTGGTGGTTTTCATGAGTACAAATTTGATTAGTTTCCTTGTTTGTTACTCAATGTCAAAGGCAAAATACATATTTTTAGGGGCAGCACTGGCTTTGAAACTCTCTTTTATAAATTTATAAAAGAAAAGGTTCCCATTTTTTAAAAAAAGAAAAAGATAGAAGGTGTCAGGCTAGTCTCCAGAGAACGGCATATCCTCAGGTTAGATTTAAACAGAGAGGAGTGTGGCCTGTTCCTTAATTAGTCATACACAAAGTTCAAATGTGTGTTAACCTTTCATCGTTAAGAGTAAAATGTCAGGACGTTTTTGTGATTTCCTCTGACTAGTAAGACAGGAGGAAGGTTCTTCGTGAGGATTTCCAACCAAGCCATGTACAAAAAATCCGAAATAGATCCTTTTCTTGCCACTGGAAGGCTCCTGACAGCGTGAGAAAAAAACAATGAAATTGGAAATTATGACAGGCAATAACATCACTACTACTTCTGAGCTATTTAATAGTCAGTGACCTGAAACTTTATTTCCCCACTCCAAGCCTGCAAATAATAAGAGGACTGAAATTATCTTTAGCATAGATATGAAGCTGATGTAGTTCTCAGATAACATAAAGATATAATCCAGAAAAAAAGAATAGGTTTGTGCATTGTAGAGGACAGAGAAAACAAAACTACAAATTTTCATTCCTCTTTAAATTAGGATTTGATCATCTAATTACCCTCCTTTTTTGGTGAAAATTACTTATATTTGGGAGAAACCAACTATTTTGAAACCTACCATCCAATTCAAGATACCGTTCTACAACATCTTAGGATAGTCCTGCAGGCTGGACCTTGTTTGAAAACATGCAGGTGATGAATTCATGAGATAGAAATGTAAAAGTTGGCTGATCTCAAGTTTAGCTAACAACCTTTAAGTCAATGTATATCGATATTTTCAGCAGACACTCCCCTAACATTGTTAGGGCTAGAGGGGGAAAGAGTAGAAATGAAAAAACCCACTGCCCTTTTTCTCCCACCCTGGTCTCTTTCCAGACTCCAATGGGTCCCTAGAGCAGGTGTGTAGACACCACAGCATCTGAATGCCCTGCCCAAGGAAGAGGCCCATGAGTCTAGTGACAGACTTGGGGTTGGTTAAGCAGATAATTCCAGGTTCCCAGGTACTTGGGACATAGTCTAGACGAGGAGCACACATTCTAGGTGGGTATATTCTCCTGATCCCGTGGGTTGTTGTTACTAAGTGTTGTTGAGTCGGTTCCGACTCATAGTAACCCTATTTAGGGTTTTCAAGGAGTAGTGGTGGGTTTGAACTGCTGACCTTGTGGTTAGCAGTCCAGTGCTGATCCACAGTACCATACCAGGAGTCCTGTGGGAAAGGCATGATGCACAACGAATGGGAAGTCCAAGGGAGACTTCTATGGTGGCATTTACTTCACTTTCTAAAAATCCCTTATATCCAAAACCTTTTTAACTTTCTATCTGAATAGTCATAAGCTTTTAGGTTGATTGACCCATTTCTCCTCTAACATTCTTGAAAATCTGCAGTGAATACTTACAGGACAATGAGGTTAGCAGCTCTAGAGTGCTCCTGTAAGAGTTCATTCAGTCGAACTTGGCGGTAACTCTGTGGACAACATTCAGATTTTGTTAGAAACCGTTCAAGCAGAATGGAGAAATGAAAATTTATTTATCTTCTGCTCTCAAATTATGGACAAACAGAAGAAAAATTCATTAAAAAAAAAAAAGAATATTACAGTTACTTGTTCAGGCTTGGAAACTTAGATTGCTCTATGGTGGCCTGTCAAATTTTATGAGAAAAGAGAAAGCTAAAAAACATGGAAGATTGGAGTGACCAATTTAGGGGTCAGGTTTGGGTTGACAAACACAGAACATAGATTATACTCTTAGTCTACCTTTCTTAAAAGAACCCTGGTAGTGTAGTGGATTATAAATTGGGCTGTTAACAGCCAGGTGAGCAGTTCGAAGCTACCAATGGCCCCATAGGAGAAAGATGAGACTTTCTTCTCCTATAAAGAGTTACAGCCTGGGAAATTCTAAACAGGGTCACTATGAGTCAGAACTGACTCAGTGGCACACAACTGGAACCACCACCTTTTCTTTTTAAAGTTTTTATTGTGAACTGAGTAGTAGTTTACATGGGAGAACATCAGCTTCACAACATCGTTTCACTGCAACGATTACAATCTCCTCCATGTATCATCATTCAACAGTATTTGCTTCCATTCCTCTGTTGTTGTTTTCTTTTTGGGGAGGAGGGGGCAGAGGTACACAAAAACACTCAGGAATAGATAATAATTTAAACAACCAAAGGGCACATTCTGCAAGCCTGACTCCTGACTGCCAGCACCCAGTCCCACTCTTTCCATGAGTCCAGAGTCCTCAGCTGCTCCCTCTCTCCATGTCCTCATTTATGTCTCCATCTCTAGTGTCACTGCTTCTCTGGATAGGGTCCCACATTCTGCTCATGCTCTTCTCCCATGATGGTCCTAGGATTCTCTGCTTCTGGACTGTATGATTAACTGGTGATGGTGATGTGCCATGGAGTAAGTTCCAACTTATAGCGACCCTGTACAGGGTTTCTGAGGCTGTAAATCTTTACAGGAGCAGAGAGCCTCATCTTTCTCCTGCAGAACAGCTGGTAGTTTCAAACTGATGACCGTAAGGTTCACAGCCTGATTTGTAAACACTATGCTACCAGAGCTCCTTACTTTTATGGTTGTGACTGTTGCAATTTGTCATGATAACAATTATTCATTATTGAATCACAAGAATCTTATCCCCATCTCCTTTCACCAGACCTGTTTAGACAAGATGAAAACTATTCAGTGGGAACTCTATGTTCCCCCACACACTCTTAAACTAAACTCTCTCTTGAAAACTTGTAAGCCAGTCACTTCATGCCTTTATCACCCCCTCATTTTAGGTAGTCAATATCTATGTTGCCCATCCCTATCTACCTTGTACACAGAAAGGATTGATGCTTCATACTACCACCTTCTTTTAAGCTCTATGAATATTTTTCAGCACAGGGGACTGGTTTTAATTAAGAAATCACCTTAAGACTCACTTGGAAAAGTAACTACACTGATTTATGATTAAATTTCACTGGTTCAGAAACCAAGACTCAGAAAAATTGAATGATTTACTCAATTATATGAAACATCTTAGTTAGAACTGAGTGGTTTGGTACAGAGTTTATTATTCGCCATTTCAGTATATTTCCCACTAAATCTGAAAGATTTTTAGCATGTCTTTCTCTAATTTGTTACAAGTTCAATTCCTAAAGTAATTTATCTAGATTTTACAGTTTTGGCTGATAGCTGCGTGTTGTCAAGTCGGTTGCCACTCTTAGAAATCCTATATAGGGTTTCCAAGGTTGTAAATCTTGATGAGAGCAGAAAACCTCATCTTTCTCTCTTGGAGAGCCTAATGGACTCAAACTGCTGACCTTACGGTTATCAGCCCAACACGTAATCCACTACACTATAAGGGCTCCTTGTATTTCAATTTGAAGGTTCCTCTTCTTGAATACCCAATTCAGATGTCATTCTTCTACCAAACTCTTGAGTACTTGATCTTTTCACAATCTTATCACCAACTTCATTGAACTTGGGTCAGAGAGGGCTAACTCCCATCTTACTGGGAAAAAATACCATTTTATAGCCATTCTACATGAGCCCAACCTATCTTTTACATTCATTGATCCAATTACATCAGATATTCTTTCAGATCCTTTAGTTAGTTTTCCATAGCTTTCTTCATCAGGGTAAAAATGCTCTGTGATTGTCAAAGTATATACCTATAGCTATATACTTTGCACATGTTTGACTTAAAATTACTTTAGACAGTGAGATCTGTCTCCAGTTCTTTAAAATTAAATTTGAAAGAAGGCTTCCCAGCATGTAATTAAACCTGTTTTTTAACTTTAAAAATATAATTGACTTTACATTAAAAAAAAAAAAAGTAGTTTTCTGAATCCATGTTTCTGTATCCAACAATATGATTGGGAAGTACTTGAGAAATGCAAACACCCTGGATCCTGAATAATGAAATTCTGTGATAGATTCATTACTTCTTGGTCTTGAAATCAACTACTGTTTTCTCTTTCAGCTAGTTAGACAGCAAAGTAAAAATTCAGAAAGACAAGTCCTCACCTTTTCCTTGACTGTATCCAACATTGCATCTGTAATTTTCCATGGAGTTTCTCTTTTTAATTTCTCAGCAGTTGCTAAATCCTTGCAGCTTTCATGGAGCCGATATGGTTCAATCATCTCTTCAAAGACTTTCCAGCTGAAATTGGAATTATAAAAGAGGCCTCACAGTGGGAAACTAACTCATTATCTCACAGATACTCCAGGTATGCCTGGCTCTATTGGCTGCAGAATCAGAGTGGAATATCATGTAAATCTTTTAAGAATGGTCTTTGCAGGTAACTTACAGGAAGTAAAGCCATGGGGATAGTGTACCCTCCCTACCAGATAAAGGCCTCCATGTGTCAGAGGCCTTGTTAGCCTGTTAAGTATTGTTGTTGTTAAGTGTCATTGAGTTGTTTCCAACTCAAAACAACCCTATATAGGGCTTCTGAGGAGTGACTGGTGGGTTTCAACCTCCAACCTTGTGGTTCAAATTGACCTTGGGGTCCAGTGCTTTATCCTACAGTGCCACATCAGGACTCTTACTAAACACAGAGATAGTAATGATTTTGCAAAGCTATTTTCTTCATAGCAACATAAAAGACAGATGTAATGTAGACACTTGAGACCATAAATGAGTTTCCATCTGCTACTGTATGGATGCTGTGGGAGGCATTCATGAATTCACATAGAGGATGAACTAGATTCTTGGGAAGTTGGATAGGGCTCCCTCACCTCTGGTCTACATGGCAACTCTCACTCAAGCCTGGAGGCTGTGAAGGGGAATAGCAAGGGCTCTCAGGAGTTTAAAGGCTATAGAACAATTTGGATGTTTGCTGCAACTAATGCAGCCTTTGTCCTTCTAGTGAGATTTTCAAAAGTCTGTTGTTCAGGTACACTTTAGTGTAAAGGCCCCAAATTAATAATGCTATAATGACTAAAAAATGTGAGGCTACTTACTTTAGAGCAATTAAAAATAAATCATTGAATAGATGATAAAACTAGGAACAGTACTTAAGAGCTATAGAACATTTTTTTAAATGTTGGAAAATCATTCTTGCCTTTCATAGAATCTCAGATTTATTTTTTAAATGATAGCATAAAGCAGAGTTTATAATCTATGGCAATAGATGTCTTCAGTATGCCACTTTAAGATGATCTCAAGTATGAGCAATGTTCTTTGGCTTTATATAATGTAACTTACTTATAATTTAGAAACATTAAAATGAGCAATAATTAGAAACGGGGTGTGCTGTTCAGTTAAGAAATTAAAATATGAAGAGTTCAATTATCTCATCAGTTGGTTTGATTTAGGATTTGCAGACAAAAGTTTCAATTGCAAAGCAGAAAGATTGACCCTACCAGTGTGCCTTTGTTAAAGGATTAAAGAGATACTTTGTATAGTAGGTTTCAAACACACTGATTTATATAGAAGTGTGGACAAAGGCAGTGAAGGAATAAGACTGATAAACTGTACTTTTCTTTCGAGGATTTGCTAATCTTTCCAACAAGTCTTGCAAGACTTCCGGTGGTTGTCAGTGCAATGGAAAGGACGCAGGCCTTGGAGAGGAGAGTCTGGGTCCTTGTTTCAAGTCTCTTAGTGTCCCTCTCAGTTTAGATAATCTAGAGAGGATGTGGGTAACAATGGCTACTCAGAACTGGCAGGAGGATCTATGTGACAATTTGGGCTACCGTGTTCTGAAAAGTTTGTAATGCTCTATAAAAAAAAGCATCGGTTTTGCTTAACAACCAAGAGGGCTGAGATTCAAAATCAAGAGGTTCCCTGTTAAACTATATATACTTCTTTTGATCAGGACGAGTCTTCTTCACCTCTCAGCCCATGTCCTTGTTAGAAAGCACAGCACCGAATTATTTTCCTGAGAAATAGAAGGTAGGATGTGGGTTGATAATTGTTGATACTATGTTTTCCTCACTAAAGTTTGGGTGGAAGCTGGGGACTGACTTCATCCCAACATTAGCCAATCAACACAATTTCATCTCCTCAGCCAGAGTAGTCTGGATGGACACACAGTCCAGGTAAACTTGACCCTGTGTTACACTGGTCACACTCAATGGCTTAGGGTGGGGGCAACTTGAATGAAGCACAGAACCTGAGCTCAATGATGAAGAAGAAATATTCTTTCTCCCCTATGCAATATAAATGATCCAATCCTGGTTACTATTTGCAGTCATCTTGTGCCCATAAGATAAATCCCTCTTGGTTGACACTTTCACAATGAAAGATAGAGTAGAAAGACAAAAAGAGAATTTTTTCCTTGATTATAAAATTAAATTTCTAGATCAAACTTTGCCTGAAAGTCAAACTACACTTGGATTTTTCAGTTTTGTCAATGATTTCCACTTTGTAAGTCACTGTGGGGTCCTGGTGTGGTGCTGTAGGATTAATTACTGGTCTGCTAACCTCAAGGTCAGAGGTTCAAATCCACCAGCCACTCCTTGGAAATCATTATGAGTCAGAACAGACTCCATGGTGTTTAACAATAACAACATGGTAGGAGCCCTGCCATCGAGTCAATTCTGACCTTGCAGTCCAGTTCATTAACCCTCAGCACCACACAACAGAAAAGTCAATGGTTCAAACTCACTAGCAGCCCCAGAGGAGAAACCAGTTGGCAATCTAGTCCCATAAAGATGACTGTCTTGGAAACCCGATGGGGCAGTTCTCTGTCCATATAGGTATTATGAATTGGAATCAGCTCCATGGCACACAACTACAAGACACTATGACGCAGACTTTCTTTTACTTGCAATTGAAACATGTTAGGTGACACTGGGGTCCTGGTGTGGAGCTGTGGGTTAATGCGCTGGATTGCAAAGTCGATTTGAACCTCAAGGTCAGTGGTTCAAGCTCACTAGCCGCTCTTCAGAAACCCTGTACAGGGTCTCTATGGGTCAGAACCGACTCCACGGCACTTAGCAACAACAACAAGTGACACTGAGTTGGTATTTGTCCATTTCTTTTCTCTTTGCTCTAATTACTCATTGGCCGTAGTCATCTTTGTTTTCTTCACCTTTAAAGCTTGACCCTGATCTTGTCTCATTCTCCTAACTGATACAAAAGTAGTTCAAAAATATTCCATAAAAATCTCATTAAATCTGAATTTTCTAATAAGTAATTTTAAATGGATCCTAGTACACCAAGTATTGCTGTTGCTAGTAAATGATATAGAGTTAGTTCTGACTCATAGCGACCTTGCATAGGGTTTCCAAGGAGCGGCTGGTGGATTTAAACTGCTCATTTTGGAGTTCACAGTTCTGTGCTTATCCTACAGCATTGCATCAAGACTTCATATAAGTAAGAATTCTATGCATTTAAAAAATTAATATCTTCTGTGCTCTTCTCACCCTGTGCCTCATAAAAAGAAAAAGTTTAAATGTTTTAATTGCATAATTCTGCCCACCCCCTTAAACTGGCACTGTGGGTTAATGCGCTGGATTGCAGGGTTGGTTTGAAATGCAAGTCTGGTGATTCAAGCTTACCAGTTGCTCCTCGGAAACCCTACATAGGGTATCTATGAGTCGGAATTGACTTGACGGCACTTAACAACAACAACAAGTTCATTTAAAATTTCTTCTCTCAAAGTAATGTGGTAGTTGTTTTTGTGAATTTTGTGTCACCTTTAAACTAAAATACCTTGTTAATTGCTTCTAGTAGTTTCTGTTTGATTTCCATATAAAGATTTTTTGGGGGCCTATGACTTTCACTTCTGTCTATAAAATAAAAAATTAAATTTAACCACAAAAGCATTTCGGTTCCTCCTGCTCAATTATTTTCTCATTAACTTTGCTTTTGTACTCCCGCTTACTCTTACCCTGCCTTATTTATAGATTATGTTTCTAAGATAAAATGTCTCTATTGAAACTTATTGATACGTTATGGGTTGTTGAGAGATTTATTAAAAGTAATTTGAGGGCATTTAACATTGGCCTCAATCTTGGATATTACTGAAAAACTTCAACACTGTGGAGCATGGGGTGATTGCGTGGCCACAAAAAAAGCGTGATCAGGGGATAGTTGATAGCGGCGGAGAATGTCTATGTAGCCAGAAATGCTGTGTGGGAGCTGAAACAGAGCTACTGCTTCACACCCTGAGTCTGGTGTCCTGGTACCTGGACCCAGGGCTTTGTCAGCCTAGAAGAAGAGTTCTTTCTCTAACTGGAGGATCATGAAGGTGCAAGAAGCACTACCAGAAGCCATCTTTGATGTTTACTGAATAGACCATTCCTTGTTTGTTCTAAAATAAAGTTACCTTCATCTATTGGAATAGCCATTGCCAACATCAGATTTATGACTGCCTTATAAATTTACATGATATCAGTAATAATAATGCAGTCCTGGTGTGGCACTGTGAGTTAATGCGCAGGACTGCAAAGTCATTTGACTGCAAAGGTTCTTTAATTCCAGTTAGAATTCGGCAACTCTGATTGTAATTTTTACATCTTCTTTGAGATTTTGAAATATCAGCGAGGGGAAATTTCCCAAACTGTGATACCTAATTCATTTCTTCCTTAGGAAGGAAAGCAGATCACTTCATTACAGGATGCTGAAGATATGTGAGAATCAGAAAATTAAAATGGCATCTAAAAATAAAACTTAGATTCCAGGACACATGCAAAGATTCTTTGTTTTTGACTACTTTGCTTTGGGACCTTTGTTTTGGACCTTGGTTTTTGACTACTGCTCATACAAGTTTGCTTCCTGAGAAGAGGAAACAAGGGCACAAAGGCTAGGGGTAGTGAGATGAAGAGGGTCCAGACCGTGATAGGTGGGCACCCAAAGAATGACGAGGTCTGGTTAGTGGGAATAGCTGACCAACATTATCAGGATGGACACAGTGGCAGTGATAGCTGAGCAGAGACCACTATGAAAGGAAGGAAAGAAAATGAGGGTTTGTTACAGAAAGAAGCAAAGGAATGTAGGAACAAATGATTCAGTAAGCACAGAAGTTCTTACCTATTAATAAGGCAAGCGGCAACAAGGAGGATTCTTTATAAGACATGAGTGACTAATGGGTCACCAACACCGAGCCAGGGCTTACAGATAATCCAAAGTCAGTAGGGGACACAGCAACTAACCTCTAGATGACAGAAAATACAGAAAATGGCCCTACACTTCAGGAGTCCTGGTGGCACGGTGGTTAAGCACTCAGCAGCTGACCAAAAGATCATGGGTTCAAATACACCACCTTCTCTATGAGAGAATGTGGCAGTCTGCTTCCATAAAGATTTACAGCCTTAGAAACCCTATGGGACAGGTCTACTCTGACCTATGTCATCACTATGATGACAACAAGTTTTGGTTTCATTTGGTGGCATAGTAGTTAAGTGCTCAGTTGCTAACCAAAAGGTCAGCAGTTCGATTGCACCAGCTGCTCCTTGAGAGAAAGATACCGCAGTCTGCTTCCATAAAGATTTACAGCCTTGGAAACTCTATGAGGCAGTTCTATGCTGTCCTGTAGGGTTTCTATGAGTCAGAACCAACTAGGTGACAGTGGGTGATGAGAGGGACACTGGCAATCTCTGCTCTGTTGCCAGGGAATCATTGGACCTGCTATGTTAGGAAGGAGAAATGCAGTTTCACCAATTAGAGCTGTTACACAAGCCCCTTTGATCATATCCCTGCAAATACCAAGAGGCAATGACTTACAGTTATTTAAATGAAAGTGGACAGCTTTCCGAGATTATTGCATGGCAACCCAGTTCATATCAGAATGTTAATTTCATTTACCAAAAAGAATTATAAAGGTGCCCTCAACATTTCTTCAGTCTCTGCAATTGTAGAACTATAGTAATGCAAGGCATTACAGGCATGTATGATGTAAGGAAATATTACAAAGTTATGACTCAGGTCACCCCTGTGGATTGCAACTTCCTTAATCACAGTTCAGGTATTTTGCAAAGCCATTTTAACTGACCCAGAGCCTTTTAGGAATCCTGAATGCCCTCCGAAAACATGAATTTCAAGGTCGCTGTATTTTCAGTTAAAAAGAATTTTAAATCTGAATAACTTTCAGTAGGCTGTTAAGCACATGGAGTCCTGGTGTGGCACTGTGGGTTAGTGCGCTGGACTGCAAGGTTGTTTTAACCGCAATGTGGGCAGTCCAAACTCAACAGTCACTCCTTGGAAACACTATACAGGGTTGCTATGGGTCGGAACCGACTTGACGGCACTTAACAACAACAAAATTAAGCACATGTTGCTATTGTTGCTAAGTACCGTTGAGTTGGTTCTGACTCAGAGAGGCCCTATATAGGGTTTATAAGGAGCTCTGGTAGCATAGTGGTTACGAATCAGGCTGCTAATCTCAAGGTCAGCAGTTCGAAACTACCAGCTGTTCTGCAGGAGAAAGATGAGGCTTTCTGCTCCTGTAAACATTTACAACCTCAGAAACCCTGTGCAGGGTCACTATGAGTCGGAACTGACTTCACGGCACACCACCACCAAGGAGCAGCTGGTGAGCTTGAACTGCCAACCTTGTGGTTCAAACCAACATTGCAGTCCAGCACATTAACCCATAGTGCTACACCAGGTCTTCATTAAGCACACACAGGATAATAATCAGCTGAAAGAAGGGAAGCAGCAAGAAGGCTGGAGAAGTGTAAGGGTTGGAACTGTTAGAAGGAAATGTGGTCAACAGAAACAGGAAGAGGACTGAGAAGACAATGAGGACATGGGCATTCTGAGAACTTCACATACACTTTCTCTTGGAGCGCCCACTCTATACCTAATCAAATGCATTGAATTGCATTCAGATGCAACAGGAAATATGATTTTGGATCATAAACACTGTATAGTTGCACTTCTGAAAAACTTTAACTCGAAATAGCTCATTTAATTTACAATCTGCTATAATTTCCAGGCAAACTTCTTGTACCTTTAGGAACCCCATGAAGACCTAACCCACAAATTGTTTCCAAATATCATGGAATTTATAATTTAACAATTAATGAGGGTTAAAATGATGTCTTGTTTTAAAGGTATTTAAGTAATTATTATTTCAATTTTGTCATTTTCTTTTTTCTTTTTGGAGCCAATACATTTCTATGCTGGCTTCAAATGATTTAAGAGGCATCCCAAAAGATCATGGACACTGAGTTCTGGGTAGCAAAAGTGGTTTAGCACTCAGCTACTAAGATGGATGGTTCAACCCCACCCAGGTGGACCTTAGAAGAAACATCTGGTCATCTTCTGAGAGGTCACAGCCATGAAAATCCTATGGAGCGAGTTCTACTCTGACTTAGATGGGGTGGTCCTGATCCATTTGGCAGTAATTAGATAGTGCCTAAAAGCACTATGTGGTGCTGTGAGTTGCGCTGGACTACAAAGTTGGTTTCAACTGCAAGGTTGGTGGTTCAAGATCACCAGCTGCTCCTAGGAAACCCTATACAGGGATGCTATGGGTCAGAACGGACTCATCGGCACTTAACAACAACAAAAGCTAAAATGGCCCTGGAGGGTATGCACTATCATTTGACAAGAAGGTTCAAGTTGTTTCCACATCCATCAGATCTTCCCTGTGAAATGCCCTTCAAATAATGAAAACTTGCACAATGGTGCCAGAGGAAGTCTGACCTTGTTGTTCCTGCTACACTTAACACCAGAGCAAAGAACTTGAAGAGAAACTCTGAAATGCTCACTAACCTATGCTTTATCAATTTCCCCATCTTCCCCAGAATCTTCTCTTCCCATTTAAACTATGAACACACCGTAGTTCTGGGTCATGATTATTTAAGATCCCTTTTTTATAATATCTGATCAGGAAGTCATTATTAGTAAGCACATCACATTTTTATTCTTTGATAATCAACACAAGTGAGAATGAGAGCATCCCATGGGTGAACAATGGTTCTTGTTAAATGTTTTATACTATACCTTTCTTTGTTTGGTTTAATGTTGATGTCACCAATGATATGAATTTCTGCAAATTTTATCCTAAATTTGCTCAGAAGAGAAGCCATTCTGAAAATATAAAAGAGAAGCACTTCATCACTGCATATTTAACTACTTTTATTCCGAGTATTGGTATTTGAGTTAAGAGATCAAAAGCATTCATGTCTTATTTCAACTTAGCTTTTAGACAAGTTAATTTACCTAAAAGACTTTGGTTAGTGTTTGATTTTCATTACAGCACTTGATGGATACATTAAGTGTGGGCCAAGCTATTTCAAAGAAGACAAAATGAAACGTGTGTAGGTACAGACACTAGAAATAGCAAACCAGCTACGTACTCATATTTCAAGACTATATATATTCAAAGCTGTCCATGTTTTCTTATTATTTGAAAGGAAGAGAGCAAAGTTGAACACTTATTGATTATTGTTGATAATTTTTCTAGTGTTACTCACAAACTACTCACAAATGAATAATTAAATGATTATTATGTAAACACTATGTATATATAGAGGAAGTCTGGCAGTGTAGTGGTTACGAATTGGGCTGCGAACTGCAAGGTCAGCAGTTCGAAACTACCAGCTGTTCTGCGGGAGAAAGATGAGGTGTTCTGCTCCCATAAAGATTTACAGCCTCAGAAACCCTGTGCAGGGTCACTATGAGTCAGAACCGACTCCAAGGCACATAACAACAACATATATTGGAGGTTTTGTTTCCCCAGAAAATAAATACTTTTTATATAATTTCAGAGTTACCAAACAGTTGCAAAAATTCACCAATTGGTTACAATGTGGCTTATTGATAACTCTCCTTGTTTCTATCTATCTACCTATCTGAGGTGTCCTGGTAGTGCAATGGTTAAGTGATCAGCTGCTAACTGAAAAGTTGACAAGTCAACTCTCCAGCTGTTCCTTGGGAGAAAAATGAGGCTGTTGGCTTCTGTAAAGATCTCCAGCCTCAGAGACTGTAACACAGTTCTGCACTGTCTTGTAAGGGTATTAGGAATTGGAATTGATTTGATGGCAATGTTTTTTTGGTGGATTTTGTTTTTGTTTTTTGTTATCTATCTAGCTCTCTATCATTTTAAAGTACGTTGTAAATGTATGCCCCTTTTCCCTACATATTTTACTACTACCAAATAAGTACTTTTTCTTATACAACCAGTACAATTTTCCTAAAATCAGAGAGTCTAACATTGATGCCATACTATTATTTAACTCACAAACCATTTTTAATTTTAATTAGTTGTCCCTGTGTAGTGGTTACGAATCGGGCTGCGAACCTTAAGGTCAGCAGTTCGAAACTACCAGCCGCTCCGCGGGAGAAAGATGAGGCTTTCTACTCCC